TTTTCTCTTCTCTCTCAAATCTTTGTTTCTTCTCTCAGATTTAATGCTTCTTGCACAGATATTTTGTCCTCTCGCTCGCCTCCTTCTCTTCGCGCACAAACCGCGCTCTGCTCGAGTCTCAGATACGCTCGCAAACCCGTAGGCTCTGCTTGCGGATTTTTTTTTGCTCTCTCTCGGATTGCAGTAGGATTGTCGCCTAGCAACCTTTCCAGCCAATAGAACGACACAGGCACTGAGTGTGCCTGTGCTACTACGCCACTTATAACGGCGTCAGCTGAAACTGCTATTTACAGTAGTTTTGTGGCTCGATTCAGCAAAGTTCAGCTTTTATGGATAACCCAAACAATTCTGAAGTAAGTAATTTTAAACAATTAGTGGTTTGTTATGTACAAAAGCAAAGACAAAGACATATTAAATTATTATCTTGAAATACTTTGTTTTGAGTGTGAGCATTATAAGTTTTGAGTGCAAGAAGATGAAATTCTTTTCTCAAATTGAAATGATGTGCTCTTGCATTATGGCAGGACAATTCTCCCATAAATACGGCGATAAATTGCTCTTTAAGGGAGGGTTACCTGTGAGCGCGCCTCGGTCCACTCCAGCAGACTCATCACAAAGGACCGAGCCGTCTGGGAGGTCAGCAGGGTTTGCAGCTTACACTGACTTACAGGACATTCTACCAACTCCTTTAATCTGCAGAAACACATTCAAGAAATTTACAGGAACAGTCACATGACCTCTGTTTCAAACTGTTGGATACTCTTCCAACAAATGTCTGCAAACATTGACCCTCTGTGTTTTTCCTCACTGGTTAATAGTCAGGTTTTATTTTGCTCTTTCTATATAGCTATATACAGCAGGTGAAATAAGTATTGAACATTTTTCTCTGTATATATTTCCAGTGGCTCTATGGACATGATGTTTTCACCAGATGTAACAATCCATGCAATCCACACATGGAAAGAAATCAAATCATAGATGAAAGTTAGAAATGAAGTTATTTGTAATAATGTGGAGTGGCACAGGGAAAAATATAGAATACGTGAAAAGGCATGGAAACCAAGACAACAGCTGAAATCTCTCAGTATTAAGAACACAATCCTGCCTCTTCTCAGTGCAAATTAATATCAGTTGGTTCAGTCCCAGATGATGGTTCTGGTGTCACACAAGAACAACATTTTTAAAGTGTTAAACACTGTTAAAGGAATAGTACACCCAAAACATGATTAGCCTTCATTTTCTACTCACCCCCATGCTGAACAACACTCTGGAGTACTTTTTTGATATC